TTACTTGTGTTGACAAAACAATTGCTTTTGGAAAAAAAATTGTCAATTTTTTGTATATTTAGTAATAACTCAGATTTTAATTTTAATTCTGGATAAAGTTTTAAATCTCGCTTATATACTTTAAATAAATAACTTTAACTTTGTAATTCAGTTTATTTCTTATAAATAAATCTTAGACAAATGTTACAGTATTTATAATTATCTATTTGAAAACATTTAATATTCCTCGAACATTAGTTACGGTACTAGAAGTTACAGCAATTTGGCGTAAGGTACGATGCCATGCACCCCACTAGTTTATTGGATAATATAATATTTCATATGTTATAAATATTGAATAAATATAAACTGCGATTCTATGAAACACTACATTCTTCAAACCGTACTCAAGAGGAATGAAACCTGTCAGTATTTTACAAAACATGCAATCATTTTTACTTTGTGACCATCATGAGAACCTATGTCGTTTTTAGTGTAATTTTCATGGATTTTCCCGTGCCCTATAGCATTCAAGTCCGCTAACGTGTTAATCGCTGAACGTTTTTTTTTATTCCTTTATTACGTTACGGGAAGGTGCAATTGCACAATGTCATGCACTACTAGTTTCATTTGTTACATACAGCAATTTGGCGTAAGGTACGATGCCATGCACCCCACTAGTTTATTGGATAATATAATATTTCATATGTTATAAATATTGAATAAATATAAACTGCGATTCTATGAAACACTACATTCTTCAAACCGTACTCAAGAGGAATGAAACCTGTCAGTATTTTACAAAACATGCAATCATTTTTACTTTGTGGCCATCATGAGAACCTATGTCGTTTTTAGTGTAATTTTCATGGATTTTCCCGTGCCCTATAGCATTCAAGTCCGCTAACGTGTTAATCGCGGAACGTTTTTTTTTATTCCTTTATTACGTTACGGGAAGGTGCAATTGCACAATGTCATGCACTATTAGTTTCATTGATGTATTTGACAGATCGGCGAACTGTCTGAGATGTCATTATCACACATTTACTTCTCATAAAAGTTCTGTTGATTTGAAATGACACGAATTTTTGGGTTAAACGTAGCAAAAGTATATATTACTAGCTGACTCGGCAAACGTTGTTTTGTTAGGTAAGGTAAAACAATTTTTAGAGAAACAAAAATATTAATACTTTAAGTGTATAAGGATGTGTTGATTGAATGCTATATACAATGAGGTATTATAAAAACAATAAACCCCATTAGTTTGTCTACATTTTGTCAATACAATCAAACTGGAAGTTTTATATACTTTCTATAGAAAACATAGTATAATCCAATCCAAGTCTTTTTTGGACTTTCGCTTTATTGATTACATTTCAAGTTTTTCATAATTGTAAATAATACTACTGAGCTTATAAAAAATTTTCAAATTTTTTATAAGATAGAAAGATAGAGAGATAGAAAATGAATTAAGTATTTCTTCTTTGACCTTCTTTTCGAAAAGTTTCAAGTTACATTCGATGAATTAACGTAAATTTAATAAAATGTATATATGTAGAGCAGGGCGAGGCACAAAGGTCCAATTTTACTTTGAGCAAATATTAATTATATTATAATAATCAAACCAGTTATATCACAACAAATAACACATTTCAAACGATCAATTATCTGACTACTGCCAGCTACTTCATCCTGCTAATGTGTTTTTGAAATGTGCTTTTTTGCTATCTTTCAAAAACTTCTTGTCTAGACCTTCTTACCTCATAGACGGGGTAACTTGGAACGGCCAGGTGGCAAACAGGTTTAATGTCTTATTTTAAGAAATTATTTAATAAGTAAATATTGTAAATTTTATATCGAAAAAACAACTACTGAGTTGTTTTTTCCAACAAGTCAAAGTAGTATACAATGTACCTTTTCGGCGGACTATTGTAAATCCATTAAATTTACTGAATGTCCTATACTGGACAGTTCTAAATAAAAGAGTTAATAAAAAAAAATGTCTTATTTTAATTTAAAAGGTATTTTTCAAAATAATTACATTTTTAACTAACGCTAAAAAATTACCAATGGAACAAATTCTTTTATTATGGATTTTCAAAGATTACCGTTTATCTCCCGATAACAAAGTCATAAGAATCAAGGTTATAGCTGGTTATACATCTTTTTCCCTCTACTTTCCAATATTGTTGTTGAACGATGCGTAACTTTATTGGTTTTTGACAAATCGATGGTGGACCTTTTTAACCCCGGACCTTCATATATTACTATCTATTCTTCGATAAATTCTGAGAAATTATAACTGGGAAAATGTTATTTGACAAAATGTCCCTTTGATCGATACCAAAGTTAGGTTCTGAATTTAAATAACATAAAGAAAAAATAATATAACCTAGAAAATGTTTTATAAATACCAATGAGTGTATAATTATACAAATGAGATCTATCGGAGCACCGTGCTTGGGAAAAATATGCCAAAAAGTGCATTTTCATATTAACATTTCAAAAAAGTTGATATTTAGTTTCTAGTAAAACTTGCGGCCCGTTTACTAACGTTTTTGTAAATAACTAAAACTACAAACAAAACAACTTACAACAATTTAATCATAATTAAATAATATTCACGTAAAACATCCTGTCTACTAAATGTAATTGAACATCATCTGTCAAAATCGTTTGACATTTCACGTATTAGCCATCGTCCATTGTTTTATTCAAATTACGCTTCTACAAAAATTTTCAAATTAAAAATGTAAAGTTTATACGCGATTTTGAAAAAAATATCTCACCTTTTTCCGACCATCTCTGGATTGGCACGAATTTTTCAAGACTAAGACTGGCCAAATCGGTTTAGCCATTTTCGAGTTTAACCGAATCATTTGATCCAGAGCTCCATTTTTATATATAAGACTAGCTGACCCGGCAAACGATGTTTTGCTAAATAACGTATATTCTAAACCATTTCTAGAGAATCAAAAATATTAATACTTTAAGTGCATAAGGATGTGTTGTTTGAATGCTGTATACAATTAGATATTATAAAAACAATAAACCCCATTAGTTTGTCTATATTTTGTCAATACAATCAAATTAGAAGATTTATACACTTTCTATAGAAAACAGTATAATCCATCCAAGTCTTTTTTGGTCTTTCGACTTATTGATTAAGTTTCAAGTTTTTCAGATTCTTTTTGGATTGTGGATTCTGCGTATAATTGTAAATAAAACTACTGAGTTTATACAAAATTTTCAAATTTTTGCGAGGCGAGATAGAAAATGAATTAAATATTTCTTCTTTGACCTGCTTTTTGAAAAGTTCCAAGTAACATTCGATGAATTAAAGTAAATTCAATAAAAAGTATATATGTAGAGCAGGGCGAGGCTCATCATTGCAGGTTCATCATTGGAGAAATGTGCTTTTTTTATATCTTTCAAAAATTTGTTATTTAGACTTTTTTACCCTATAGGCGGGGTAACTTGTAACGGGCAGGTGGCAAAAAGGTTTAAAGCCTTATTATAATTTTAAAGGTATTTTACAAAATAATTACATTTTTAACTAATGCTAAAAAACTACCTACGGAAGAAAATACTTTTATTATGAATTTTCAAAGATTACCGTTTATCTCCCCCACTTCAAAGATCACCGTTTTCAAATCAAGGTTATAGCTGGTTATACATCTTTTTCCCTCTACTTTCAAATATTGTCGTTAAACAATGCTCAACTTTACTGATTTTTGACACTTCGGTGGTGGACCTTTTTAATCCATAACCTTCATATATTACTATCTATTCTTCGATAAATTCTGGGAAATTATTACTGGGAAAGTGTTATTCGACAAAATGTCCATTTGATCGATACCAAATTTAGGTTCTGCATTTAAATAACATAAAAACAAAATAAAATAACCTAGAAAATGTTTTATATATACCAATGAGTATATAATAATTCAAATGAAATCTTCCAGAGCACCGTGTTTGAGAATAATATGCCAAAAAGTGCATTTTCATATTAACATTTCAAAAAAGTTGATATTTTGAGTTTCTAGTAACACTTGCGGCCCGTTTACTAACGTTTTTATATATAAATAAAACTACAAACAAAACTACTTACTACAATTTAATCATAATTAAATAATATTTACGTAAATCATCCTATTAAACGTAATTGATCATCATCTATCTAAAACGTTTGACATTTCACGTATTAGCCACCGTCCATTGTTTTATTTAAATTACGCTTCTACACAAATTTTTAAATTAAAAATGTAAAGTTTCTACGCGATTATGAAATAATCTCACCTTTCCGACCATGTTTGGATTGGCACGAATTTTTCAAGACTAAGACTGGACAAATCGGTTTAGCCGTTTTCGAGTTTTACCGAATCATTTTATCGAGAGCTCCATTTTTATATATAAGATATAACTATATGAAATACAAGATTTGCGCATGAAATAACATTGTAATATAGGTTTTGTGATTTTTTTCCAACATTTATTCAATTCATTTAATTAAATTATCAATAATGTTTTCAAATGATTATTTAATAAAGAATTGTATTATTATCATGAGATTGATGTACAGAATTGTAATTACTCACATTTCCTTTATGTAATATATTATTAATAAATAATTTTTTTCAAACAAACAAAACAAAGAAAATTTGCGCAAGTGCTTCGTTCTATTTATGTACAGATTGTTTTTGATAAATTATCAAAAAATTTCTGATAGACAAATTTTTGAACGTGTTTTATTAAAAACAATTTATCTTATCTCAATATTCAAAATTGTATAAATTCTACAAGAAAGAACAGACTAAATCTTTCTTCTAGAATTTATACAATTTTGAATATTTGGTAGCAACTGATCTTATTTATTTATGAATTTGATATACATTATTACAATTTATTGTTAGATTTGATGCAGTTTTAAAACTTGCAAATTATTGATTTTCGCATTGGTTTTGTGTATAAATATAAGAAATATATAAAATTGTTTAATTTTGATTTATGTGTAATTTCAGACAATGATTGACAAAGAAAGGAAACGGTTTCACGAAATGGCTGAGAAGGACAAACAACGATATGATTTAGAAATGCAGAGTTATGTGCCCCCGAAAGGTGAAAAGGTTGGAAGAGGAAAGAAAAGAAAGCAGGCCAAAGATCCCAACGCACCAAAACGTTCATTGTAAGATTATATTACTGTATAGATTATAGGATGTATAGTCATACAAAATTAATTAAACAATAGAAATAGTTTGAATTATTGAAATTTCATGATTTTGCTTTACTAGTGTCAAACTTCACTGTCAAATACGACCATAGTTTATAATGCTGTTTTATACTCGGTCACGTTTTGTAGACTAGTTGGATTATCACTTCTATTGTTATATATCTTATATGTAAAAATGGAGCCCTCGATCAAATGATCCGGCAAAATTCGAAAACGGCTAAACCGATTTGACTAGAAGGTCGAAAAGGTGAGATATTTTTTTAAAATCGCGTAGACACTTTACATTTTGAATTTGAAATTTTTTGTCGGAGCGTAATTTGAATAAAACAATGGACGGTGGATAATATGTGAAATGTTAAACGTTTTTGACAGATGATGTTCAATTACATTATTTAATTATGATTATGATTAAATTGCAGTAAGTAGTTTTATTTTTACACAAAAACTAGTCTCAATATGCCATCATACATAATATTCCACAGCAAAGGGCCTAGAACATCGGCACACCTCCTGTTATATTATATTCTTCTGTACCATCGCGTGAATCGTACATTAGAATTCTGTCTGTAAAGTAGCTTGCGACTATATTGCAGAGGTATGCTGGCACGTTCTTGTCACGGAGTGCATTCATAACGCAACCCCAGTTTGCAGAATTGAAAGCATTTTTTATATCCAATGTAGCTACAAAGCAGTACTTTTTCGCACCCCCCTTCCATCTGGTTCCAGCAATTGCCTCCTTGGCGGTATTAACTACCAAGTTTATAGCATCGATAGTTGATCGCCCTTTGCGAAAACCATACTGATTGTCTGCTAGGATTGGGTCAACTATTGCATCTATTCTTTGGTAAATTATTCTTTCAAAAAATTTACCCGCTGTATCCAGCATGCATATTGGACGGTAGGATGATGGTTCAACTGGTGTTTTTTTTCCTTTGGGAATAAGCACTAATCTTTGCTGTTTCCATTTTCGTGGAAAACCCCCTTCTTTCATGTATTATATGCATTAAGAAACATTGTCGGAGATGTCATAATTGATGTTTTTAAGGCAATATTAGGAATTCCATCTAATCCCGGTGCCTTACTATTACCAACGCGATGACAAGCTTCCATCAGTTCTGCCAGTGTTATAGGTGGAATATTATTCTGTTCTACATGTGTTACCTGGTAGTTTAAATTAGGTTGTCGTGGAAACAAAGTAGTTACTATTTTATTCAATAGTCGTGGGCAAGTTGGTGAAGGTATTGGCTGGCTTTTGAGGCGAGACATTACAGTCTTATAAGGTCTTTTCCATGGGTTTTCCTCGACTTCATCCAAATGTTCTTTCCAGCACCTAACTTTACTATCTTTGACAGCTTTATTATGTTGCCGACGTACTTGTTTATATTCCACTACCAGTTGTGCAGAATTAGTGAGACTATACCCTTGCTGAGAGATCCTTCTTTTGTTTAGGCACTCTTTACGAAGAGAGCTAATTTCTTCAGTCCATCAGCTCTCTAGTATGCTCATCTGCGTGTTCTGAAATTATAGGTTTGCAATTTAAGGCAACTTTCATGGCGCTTTCATCAAAAGATTTTATTTTCCACCCAATGGCTTTAGATATTTTCGCATGTCTTCTAATGTTTCTATTTGTTGATATTTCGCAGATGATTGCATTGTGGTCACTAGCAGTGTAGATATCTAATACCTCCCAATTGCAATTTCCTCTGACGAGGCTATTGCTAACAAAAGTAAGGTCTATTATTGAGCTTGCACTGCCCTTGGCAAAGGTTGGCTTATCACCACTATTAAGTAAAACAACGTCAAGTGCATTAAAGGCCTCTAAAAGTGCTTTACCTCTTGCATTAGTCTTCCTACTTCCCCAGTCTACCGCCCATGCGTTAAAGTCACCGGCTATCGCTACGGGGTGGTGTCGTTTTGCATCCTCCACAAGACGATCAAAAAAATCGACAAAATCGGGCAAAGAAAGACTAGGTGGAGCGTAACAGCTGTAGAAATGGATGTATGTGTGTGTGTGTGTATGTATGTGCGGATACAAATTTTCGTCGACGATTTCGGGAACACGAATCAACCGATTTGAATAATTTAAAAAACATTCGATTTGTATTGATAAGGAGACGTGCTGATTAGTTTTTGGCAAAGGTAGGTCTAGCCGTTCCGAAGATACGGGGCAAAAAGTGCCGGAAACGGTAACTCAGTTTTTAAGAGAACGGAGCGTCCGATTTGAATAATTCAAAAAACATTTTATTGGTATTGACTAAATGAAGAACTGTTCAAAATTTTGGAAAGGCAGGTCCAACGACTTTGGAGATAAGGAGGAAAAAGTAAAAAAATGAGCCATTTGGCGGTCAAAAATGATTATTAGACATATGCACATCAAATTATCAGATATTTTAACAATAAGTATACATTTTGTTCACATTCCCATGGGTTCCGTACCAATGTTTACGCGCTAGACGGCGATGCGGCGCTTACGCGCTTTGATATTTCGTCTTTATGCAGTGAAAGCAGTACGATTGCTTTGAAAAAACCTTCAGAATTTCCAAAATATGTCAAAATGAAGAAAACATTTTTCTTTTCAAAAAAATTTTTTTTAAAAAAGTAATTTTTTGTCAAATTTATAGTTTCTCAAAAATCTAATTTTTTCGAAGTAAAATTTTTTCAAAAATGTTAATTGTTTTTAAAAAAATAATAATTTTTAGTACGGGAAGTTCCAGCAATTTGCCTTAAGGCACGATGCCTTAATTGCCTTAAGACAGAATTCCACTTACAGCTAGTTTAGTTTCATTCTAGTGTGTACAGATTAACTAACTCTACACACTAGAATGTAACACAAACATATATATTTATGTATATATATATATATATATATATATATATATATATATATATATTAACAAAGTCTAATAATCGGGCATAACATCAATAAAAAACATGAATTTCTTTCAAAAATTTATTTTAAATCCATACGTTTTGCCTGTAATCCTAGCCTTCATTCAGTGGAAACTAAAAATCTCGTCTATCAAATAAATTGCTTAGATTATCATGGCAAGCATTATCACTAACTGGTACCAAAAACCTACTTGGTCAGGTAGGTACTTAAATTTTCACTCTTACCACCCCTCTAGTATGAAAATAGGTACTATCATTAATCTAGTAGATCATGCTATCCTCCTTTCTACAAACAATTTTAGACCTCAAACTTAGATTTAATTTTCAAAACCCTCGCACAAAATTCCTATCCTCCACATCTTATAAAATCCGTCACAAACAATAGACTCACTATTTTAAAAAACAAAATAATTAACCCCAACCTGAGTTTAATTTCCACAAAAGATAATAATTTTGATGGTACCATTTGCCTACCTTACATCAAGGAACTTTATCCGATGTGAAAAAAAAAATTTTATTACGCAAATCTTTGTTTAGTATGCAACATCGATTTAACGCTCAATTCCCTTTTCTCAAAATTAAAGCCGCGCACTAGTTTGGAACGAATATCCAATGTGGTCTATAAAATATCCTGCAATAGCTGTGATTCCACCTATATTGGCGAAACAGGACAGAACGTTATCGATCGTTTAAAACAACACGATAATAACTCAAAAAACAAAAATAAAGGGCAAACAATGATCACAGAACTTTTAAAACAAAATAACCATACGTTAAATTTTTATGATGCAAAAGATCTTCATCATGAGTCGAAAGTCTCACAAAGACGCTTTTCAGAATCGGCTTACATTTTCTTCAACAAAAACAGTATAAACAAACGATCAAACACCAGCTTCATCTGAGAAATTTACCAATGTGTTCTACATAATTTTTCTCAATTTATATCGAATTTTACTGATGGTTAGTACGAACACATGTGTTTTCTTCTCAAAATTTTGACCTCGCATTTTGTATTTTTACAGAAATTTCATTCTTGTTTGGCTTTCCTCGGATACACGAGTGCTTACGTATAATATTCTGTTTATTAATTATTTTTTATTCTTTACAAAAAAGAAATTACTGACATTTGGTGCTTGTTTCCAATTATTAATTTTTTACAAGCTGTTAATAATATATGCAAGTGATAATCTAAGAATTTCAAGTAATGTTTTATGCTATATTTAAATTTAAGGTTTAGATATCTTCTGTCTCTTTAGTTAAATCTCTTTCTTTTTATTCTTGCTTATGTATATTCAGTTATTAACGTTACTTTCTGTTTTTTTTTTTCAAAATTACTAGAACCACTACAGATGAATTAGAATTTTACGTCGCAACGTATGGAAAAATAAAGATGTTTTAAAAAATCTTTACTTATTTATATTTTTTACTTGCCCTCCAAGAAATTAATCATACATTTCAACATCAAATTTAAACACTTTCAACACACATACACATACACACACACACATATATATATATATATATATATATATATATATATATATATATACAGCAGAATTCGCTTAGTATGACATCGAAGGGACGCCGAAATCTCGTCCTACTAACCGGTCGTCATACAAAGCATACTGAAGAAAAACTATTTTAATATGTAAATATGTTACATGTTTCAGTAATTTAAAGGAAAAGCCTGTACATACATTTTAATTAGAAATAAAAATGACACATATTAAAATTTAATATCAAATAAAATTGACATAGGGAAGGGCAGGGCACAAAGTTCCAATTTGACTTTCAGTAATTATACTGTCTAAATCCAATTAACAACTTTGCAACACTTAACACATTAAACAAGCATCTATCGAACTATGTTCATAAAAAAATTCACATAATTCCTAATTATATAGATATTTGGTATCTGACCCTTTCTACTCCATGTACGGGGTAAAGTGAGACTTTTGGATTGAGAATTTTAATTTCAAAATATTAATTTTATGGGCACATTTGTTACAAAAATAACACAATATATTACATTGGTCTGCTATTGGTCAGAAATATTCATCAGAAGA